AGATCACTGCAGCCTTGAACTCCTGGGTTCAAGCAATCTTCCCACCTCATCCTCCCAAGCAGCTGGGCCTACCGGTGTGCACCACTGAGCCCAGCAGAAACTGCTATTTTATTTTATTTTTATTTTATTTCAGAGCATTACAGGGGTTCAAACATTTTGGTTACATAAATTGATTTTGTACATTTTGAGTCAAAGTTGTAAGTGTGCCCATCCACCCAGATAGTGTGCATTGTACCCATTAGGTGTGAATTGACTCATCCCCTCCTCCCCCACCACCCGCTTGGTTTCTGATGAGTTTTATTTCCATATGTGCACATACGTGTTGTTCGATTCGTTCCAATCTAATGGTGAGTACATGTGGTGTTTGTTTTTCCATTCTTGTGGTAGACCCCACTGCCCCATTCTGATCCTTCAGCCCCCTGCATTGGACTGTGAGTAGCTCAAGGGTGTCTGTTGGATTTACCAGTGTCCCAGTGGCACACAGTAGGTGCCTAATAAATCATTAAGCAATTAAGTGCTGTTTCATCATTCGCTACATAAAATCGAAACTCCCTGGCACAGGATAGGTTTGCAGATCTGCTGGTAAAATCCTAAACTGGTTCTTGAAGTGGACACACAGCTGGTTGTGGTGGTGGCTTCTGGGAGAGGACATGCAGGGCAGGGGGCAGAGGTCAGACGAGACAGACTTTTCACTCTAGTCATCCTTTCGCCGGTTTGCAAATTTTCTTTACCAGATGTGTCGATGACCAATGAAAGCATGAAATGAATAAATAACATTCTACAAAATAAAGGATTAGGCTGGGTGCTGTGACTCACGGCTGTGGTCCCAGCTACTCAGGAGGCTGAGGCAAGAGGATTGCTTGAGCCCAGGAGTTCGAGGTCGCAGTGAGCTATGATGATGCTACTGCACTCTAGCCTGGGCAACAGAGCAAGATACTGTCTCAAATAATGATGATGATGATGATGATGATAATAATAATAATAATAATAATGCTATTGACTTTGCACTTTGTGCCAGGCATGGCACGCTTCGCCTTCATTACATAATTGAAATCTCATAACCTCCCCATTATCCAGATGAGGAAACTGAGGTTAGCTCAGATACCACGTTGTTGGCCAGTGAGCTTGATCTAGACTGCACTGGCCACCAAATGGACAGCCCTGGCCAAGTAGAAAAGATTGCTGTAGGCCAGGCGCTGTGGCTCACGCCTATAATCCTAGCACTTTGGGAAGCAGAAGTAGGAGGATCACTAGAGGCCAGGAGTTCAAGACCAGCCTAGGCAATAGCAAGATTCCAATCTCTACTAAAAAAAATTTAAAGATTAGCCCGACATGGTGGCTTTTGCCTGTAGTCCCAGCTACTCAGGAGGCTGAGGCAGGAGGATCGCTTGAGCCCACGAGTTGGAGGCTGTAGTGAGCTATGGTGACACCACTGCACTCCAGCCTGGCGGCCTGGGCAGCAGAGGGAGACCCTGTCTCAAAAACAAAAAAGAAAAGAAAGAAAGAAAAAGAAAAGGCTACTGTGGACTTGTGGCGCCCCCTGGAGGTAGAGGTGGAAGCCTAATAATGAGCGTTTGGATTTCAAGGGTTTGGCAGGACCAGGGAGGCAAGTCAGGATCTGTGGACTCCCCACTTTGCTCTGTCCTTGGGGAGCCTTGGAAGGCCTAAGAGGAGACAGGACCCTGGCCTAGGGGATGGAGGACACACAGACCTAACCTGAAGGGTTTCAGGACGACATAGCCGTACCCTGGGGATCTAAGCCGGGAGGCACAGTCCGCCCGGCCCAACGCAGAGGGCTTCCTATAGGCGATAAGGCCCCGCCTTTAAACAAACAGAACCGTGGAATTGGACGCACAAAAACCACCTCCTCACGTCTCGGAGGCCAAATGGGGGCGTGACCTGCCTGGTGGGCGTGACTGACAGCAAAAGCTTAACGATCATTGGTGGTGGTCCCCTCGGTGCCCGCCCCAGAACCGCCCAGCTATGGGCGGGCCATTCTTCCAGACTTAACCTTCATTGGCTGAATAGAGCCGGGCGCTCGTTGGCGACGGGACCCCCAAGGGGGCGGAGCCTAAGGCAATGGGGCTTCTTGCTGGGTGGTCTCGCGTCCCCAAGTGTCGCAGAGGATCCTTAAGCCAGGAGTGAAAACTAGGGTCTGGGGGTTAGTTCTGGAGGAGAAGTGGGGGCACGCTGGGCCAGGCCTCTCCGTCCTCGCTCTTGTACACCCCGCTTTCCAGCGCGGAATCTGAACCGGAGGGTGGGGGGAAGCGTCGCGCATGTGACGTCATCTGGAAGCGCCGCGCGCGGCCGGCGGAGCCGTGACCTCCCGTGGCGTGGGAGGCTACACTGCGATGTTGCAGCTAGTCCGGGCCGGGACGCGGGCCTGGCTTCGGCCCACAGGCTGCCGGGTGAGGCCAGGGAGTGGAGGCGGGGTCGGAGGAGCAATGTTGGGAGTCCAGGGGTCGTCTCTCACTTTCGCCCGCTCCTTACAGGGCCTCACCTCGCTGGCGGATGAGGCAGCGCGGCCGGTGGACAATCCAGAGCCGGTGGCGAGCACGGGTGAGGCTACTGGGGTCACCCTAGGAGGGCTGGCGAACGGGAAGCCCTAACCCTTGACTTTGACCCCTGACCTCTCCCAATCGCTCCAGGTCTTCAGGCGCCCGTGCTGCGCAAGTGCGAGCGCCCAGTACCCGCTCATCTGAGCCCGGTGCAGGCCTGGATCGAGTCCCTGAAGGGCTACGAACAGGAGCGCGTGGGCCTGGCCGAGCTGCATCCCGACGTTTTCGCCACCGCACCCAGGTATAAGTGGGGGCTGTAATGGCGAACTGGGTGGCAGGAGGATGAGGAGCGGGAATTCAAGATGCTTGAGAAAATGCTGAATTTCTAGAGTCTCAGTTTCTCCACCTGCCAAGTTCTTCTCTTGTGCTTTAGTGTTCCCATCCTGTCAAACCTCGGCAGGTTGACGTGATGATTAATTGACTTAATTCTGGCGCATTATAGTACTATAGAAATGTTGGTTATCTTTACTTTTTTTTTTTTTTTTTTTTTTTTT